AAATTCCCCTCATGTTTATTATAATTATTTTTGTATTTTAATTATTTAATTAACCTTAGTAAAAATGAGAATTAATATTTTTATAAAATTAGGATAATAATAAAAACGCTAGATTTTAGTTTAAATGAATACTATTTATACTTTATAGAGTGAAAATGAAATTAATAATTATCTAAATTAGATCATTTAGATTATGTCTTTAATTTTAAATTAGAAGTTATATATTTATTTATTAATTTTTGGAATAAAGATGAATAATTAGATAAGTTTGATCTATAGCCTTTAGGGAATTTCAAATTCTTTAGAACATCACTTTATCTTTCTTTGACATTGTGAAAGGAGCTTGTGGCAATGAGTAGCTACCATCCTCTAAAGTTTGTGGATGCAATTTATTTTTTATTCCAATGTCAACCAAATCTTATCTTGCTTGTAAGTTATCTTTTGATTTTTCCAGATCAAGAAAAGCTCCAATAAAATTATCACAAATGTTCTTCTCAATATGCATAACATTCACGTTATGTGGAAACAAGTTATACTCCCAATAAGATAGGTCAAAGAAAATTGATTATTTATTTTATCCTTTAATACCTTGTACAACACTTCCTCTTTTTAGACCAGCTTCACTTAAAGAGGTAATAGGAAATTCTATATTATGTAAATGTCAAAGAACTTTAGTGTCAGTTCTCCTTCTAGGTTCTCTTTGAACTTCCTTTATTTTATCAAAGTAATTTTTTTGGTGATGTAAAATATGATTATCTTGAAGCCAACGATGATGACCCATGTAAAAGAATTTATTGACTTGTATAACCACAAGGATTATGTATTTTGTGCATAATAAGGAAAAGCAAATATCCCTTTCGTGCTCCACCCAGACAACACGTCGTATGCTGGAAAATCATTAATGGTCCACGGTAATGCATCTTGCATCTTGAAAGATTGCCCACTTACTACATCACAACATTCAACTCCATGTCATAATTCATATAACTTTTGAATCAAAGGTTGAAGGTAAATATCAATAACATTTCCTAGAATTTTCTCCCCGGGTATTATAGTTGATAGGATAAAATAATCATGTTTCATCTCATCCCAAGGTGGCATATTATATGGAACTACAAATATAGGCCAAATACTACATATACTACTCATAATCTTGAATGGATTAAACCGATCACTAGCCAAACCAAGGCGAACATTATGTGGATCCAAAGCAAAATTAGGGTATTGAGAGTTGAAAGCTTTCCACGCTTCTCCATCAGCTGGGTGTCTTAATAAGCCATCTACATTTTTGTGTTTAGAATGCCAAATCATCTCTTCAGCAGATTTGTTTGTTTTTTAAAATCTTTTAAGTCTTGGAATTAATTGAAAATATTTGACAATTTTAGCTAACTTCATATGAGTTCTTTTTCCTCTAGAAGTATTCTTCAACATAGTTAGCCATATTGATGCTCCGTATATAAGACACATATTCCAATCAAATCTAGCTTTCCAAAATGACATACAATCATTAGGACATGCATTTATCTTCATATATCTATGATCGAATGCTTTCATTATCTTCTTCACTTCATATGTACTTTTAGGCAACAACACCCCTTTAGGAAAGGCATCGACCATTAACTCAAGTAGCATATCAAAGAATTTTGTCACCTAAGAATGTAAACACTTCAAACGATATAAGTTCAATATAAAAGAAAGCTTTGAGAAGGTTTTACATCCATGATACAACTCTGCTCCTGCAACCATGATCATTTTGTTTATTAGTATTGAACTAATTATGCTCCATCTCTAAATTTTGAAATGAATCATTTGGACATAATATGTCTCTTAATAATCCATCTATACCATCTATTATTATATCATCAGAAGGAGCTTTTCCTTCCTTTAACTTTGGTGTGGCACCAGAAGCTTCATTCAATTCACATTCACCTATAATACAATGCTCTTCCCCATGTTGATTCCATACAACATATCCAACAAAAAATCGTTTGGAAATTAAATGGTCTTTCACATCTTTCATAGAATGAAAATACCTATTAATGCATGACTTATATGGACATAAAATTTTCCCTGAGAAATTCTGGCTTCTACATGCAAACTCTATTAAAATTTTTACACCATTTACATAATCATGACTCCACTTGGCTTTTGTAATCAAACACTTATTCATATTAAGTAAAAAATGAGTTTTCAAGTCACTGCTAAGAATAAATATTCATTAGGACACTCAAATTTTTATGCAACATCATCTTCATAAACTTGCAAACATCATGTTTATGCAACCACTAGATGTTACAATCCACTTTTTTGGTCTTTTGATGTATCCTTCACACACATCTATTTTCTATATCCACCTGATCAATTCTCATGCATATTTTTAGTATTTAAAACACAGCTTGATCATTTCAACACAAATATAAAAAATATGTGAATTATATTATTATCATGTAGTGCCGCAACGTCAGAACAAATAATGTTGTAGCTCCATCAAAAACATTGCTGGAGCACTAGAATATCGACATCACAGCACCAACTTCTTTATCTGACAATTCCACAACATCAAAAGATTAGCTTTGCAGTTCCATGTTCTTTGTCATTAAGTGTCACAACATCACACTCTTTAGCGCCTGCATGATGTTTAAATTGCTCCTCCGACACCACAATATTTAGAAGATAGTTTCGTCATGGCATACCAGTTGTAACTTCGCAAGGATATGATATGTCAGCAAAATGAAGCGACTATTCACTAAGTAATTGATCCACATCAGCAAGTGTCCTGGTGAAACAAAAGAAGCAGCACAGAGGTGTTAGTTCATTTGTTTAAGTCTACTCCATGTCTGGCTCAACTCTTTAGTTTGGATTAATAATCTAAGTATCATATGTAGTACCAATAAATTTTCTTATTCCTTAAAAGAATAAAAAGATATTTTCAATATTATTAGATCTTAATTTAATACATATAGTGGTTATATATGTTATTCAAATTGGGTGTAATGTGGGGCCTCGATGAAGGGAAGCAAGCATAACAATGAATATTGATTTAGTACTTGTCATACCTAGGCATAGGTTAAGAAATGTACTAATATCATTATATTTCTTGATTCAGCACGTATACTTACGCATATTAAGTGAGATTTTTATAATTTTTTATATAAAAAAAATCTAAACATTGTTACAGATTGATATAGCCCTAAATCATTTCACAATTCTATATGTTACTCCACAGCCCCCATCATCCATTTAAAAAATTTCGACAAAAGCACGCACAAAATAGAAACATAGGAATTTGAGTGTTGATGTCAGAAATAAATGTTGATTTTTTGAATATAGATAGGAAACAACGGAATGGAAGTCTTCCCTCATAATCACTAGCAACCAGATCAAGAATAAATCAACAAGAGTAACGATTTCAAAAAATTCAACCAATGAATTACCTGGAGAAAGAGAGAGAAAATCAGATTTAACGATCAAATCCTTCTTCAATCGATAACCTGATTTCTCTAGCCACGCCTGAATGCCTAGCTCGCCTGTCTTGCTTTCGTTCGAATCATGTGCTAGGCCAAAAATCATACAAGCCAACCAACCCCAACAGGGAGAACTTCCCATGCATAGACCTCTCCCTCTCGTTTTTCTAGCCTTTTTTTGATCGATGAGTGATCGTACGCAGGAAGAAGAAAGGGAAGAGAGCTGTTTCGCAGGCAAGAAGCTTGCAACTGCACTGCCCTTGGAGTTCCAGAAGCATCACATTTCTAACACAGCTTAAGCATTTTAAACTTGACGAAGTAAAGGTGGGCAAATCAATGAACCTACGATTATTTTGAGCCGGGAAGAGTTCTCCGACTTATCCATAGAGAATGGGAGGAGCTCGGTGACGGGTACGACAAAATGTGGCTTCTGAGGAGTATAGCCACTAAACGAGTAAAGAAGAATAAAAAATCAATGATTGCGATCCTACGTTGGTTATACGCGAACAAGCAGAAGACAATGGAGGGAGGGGAATGAAGGAAACTTTTCAAGTAGAAACTTTAAGCAGCATAGCGTTATACGGTCCAAAAATCATGATGTTCAATTTCAATCGTTTGTTTTTTCAACAGACGGTTCCTTTTACTCTGTTTTGAACCAGATAGTTCTTTCAAAATTAGCCGGTTGTACAGTTTAACTGGCGGTTCGTCTAATTTTTTCCCAGTCATATGCTAGTATGATTTTCAAGTTTAGACAAACTGATTAGCTGATCGTTTACCGATTCAACCGGTTGAACCGATCGGTCTAGACCGGATCATCCGGCCTAATCCGTTCAGGTTTGATTTTACTATATATATATATAAGCCCCCACAAGATAGAGTGTCCCACCCTTTTGACCTATTAAATCTAAATGGAAATTCAAGCATTCTATTTATTAAGAATTATGATTAAATTTGTTTAACATCTAAAGAAAAAAAAAATCTGATGGGGCCATAATGAGCCCCCACTGCATAGTGGGTCCCAACATTATGACCTACTTTTTCTTTCACAGGATTAGATACTTAGACACATTATTATTTACAAATTACTAAGATTATATTTGTTATAACATCTAAAAAAAAATCTATTAGGAGCACATTGAACCCCACTACATAGTGGGGCCAACCTTATTATCTATTAAACACCCATTAAGGCCATCTTTGCAACTAAATCGGCCAAAATAATAAGCAAATAAAAATGAACGTATTTTTACAGGTGTCATATTTATTAAGCAACTCTCAACCATTCATCATAAAGACGTTACGTGTCCTTGCACTCCATTCAAAACTGGCTGGCACCTCCTTTCTTAAACGCTAACCGCAAACCAATTGTCATTCTGACAATCCCATCGATTATTTATGCTAAACCTATACCCCATGCATATTCCTTCTTGGCCTTTCCAGCCCAACCAAGCTTCACAGCCAAGAAAAGCGTGTGAAAGATAGAGAGAGAGAGAGTATACATCATTAAATGAGGCAGATCAACTAGCTACTAAGTAGTTGCAGTAAATGACCTACCATCAACAACTTACTCATAGTTAAACAGTTAATTACGCCCTTACATAAGAAGATAAACATATCATAATACATAAAGTTTGTCAAGGAAGAAGAAATAGAGAGCCAAGTAGCTAGAAAAGGAGCTTAGGATATTGTAGAGAGGATAAGAGGAAGGAAGAGATGGTGGAAGACAGAGAAGCAGTGGTGTTAGAAGAAGCCATGGCCAAAGACGAGAAGCTTCAAGAGAGCACTACCACTTACAAGAAGAAAGGAAAGAAAGGAAAGAAAGGGAGCAAGACGAAGAACGATAATAAGGGAAGCGATGGAGGAATTAGAGAGTATAAGCTTGTGAACTACGAGGATTTGCCTGATTACATGAAGGAGAACGAGTTCATACAAAAGTATTATAGATCTGAGTGGCCAATCTCTCATGCCTTCCTAAGCCTCTTCTCATGGCACAATGAAACTCTCAATGTTTGGACGTATGGTTCTCTTAATTTTTTGTGCTCCTATTCTTTCTTTTCTTTCTTCAGTAGCTTAAAATTTTTCAAATTGTTTGTAAAGAAATTGTTTATTTCTCTAAATTTGTGTAGGCATCTGCTTGGATTCTTGTTGTTCTTGGGATTAACTGTGATGCAACTGAGCGACATGCCTCAAGTGGCAGATCTCCTAGGCCATCTGCATGGGTCAGTAGAAAAGATAAATTGGTTTGTTAATTTCTTTGAAATTTCTTCATCTTTGATTCAATTCTCAGCAAATTTCACTTGTCTTCCACCATAGAAATGTTTGAAATTCAGATTAGTTCATCGATTATATGCTAAAATTCATAGATTAATCGCATTTAATTGCTTTTTAGGCTTTGATCTTCTTGTAATTTGCATCAATTGTGCTTATTTGCAGGTCTTTCTCCCCAAAGGCAGCAGGAAATGTGTCCCTGAATCAAGGAAGTCTCTTCAGCGTAAGTACTTAATTTCCTTCTTATTACAGTCTTAATTCTCTGCATATATTAAAATATTACAATTTCTGAAGAGACTGGAGGCAAAGGGGTGAGGACAAAATCGTAATTTTATGTCATCAGACTATATAAAATTATTTTATAAGAATGTTGGAATGCATCTGAAGAGGTTTTGCTTATAATGGTACTTTATCATTTTATATAAATATAAGTACAAAAGTAAATCATTTTGTTATCCAATATAAGATATTGGGTAAGGCTATTTTAGTATTTTCGGAAACTAAACTCCTAGCTTTCTGGTGAGCGTCATTATCAGTGCGCAAGAGCTTCTAAATAAAATTAATTGTTTAATATTAATTTTGTGTTAATATTGAGTGTAAATTTTATTATTATTATTATTATTATTATTATTATTAAGACACTTAGTCCACCCAAATTAAAACATGATAATTATATTTAAAATTTTAAACATATTATTTTCTGCGAAATTCGGGTCATGATATTTAAAATTTTTGGAGTTCTTACAACCTTTATAGGCTCCAATTTACTAGCTATCTAATATTACGGATTGCTTTTGGGAAATTTAGGTTTTATTTGGGGCAGTTTTTTTACTACTTAAAATAAATTTTTAGTATAAAATTTTAATTTTTATATTAGAAAACTGTTTTGAGAATCAATAAGATAGTCGTTCCAAATGAAGCTTTAAAATAATTTTTTTGTTGTTTTTTAAAACAGCTTTTTAGTATATAAATTTTATGAATTAGAAATTTTTGCTCTAAAAAACTATTTTAAAAAGCAACAAAAAAATTGTCCCAAACGAAGCCTTAATATTTTGAGATTAAAATGACAACTTAGGTTTTGTTTGGGACGGCATCTTTTCTGCTTTCTTAAAGTATATTTCTAGTACATAATTTTAATTTTTGTACTAAAATGTTATTTTAAGAAGCAATAAAAAAATCATCCTAAACGAAGCTTTAATACTTTCTAAATCAACTTTTTAGTAAAAAAATTTTAATTAAAAAAATATTTGTGCTAATGTCTTTAAATCCTTTCTACATTATCATCGTTGAGCCATTTAGTCCGCTCCCCTTCATTAAAAGAAATTATTACTTGTGGTCACTAGATACTGTTTGGAGGCAAATCATGATGTGACACATCATCATTTTGTTGTGTATCAGGTGACATGCATAGCGCATCCTGATTTGCTTCTAGACAGTCTAATAACCTACGTAATAATTTCTCCTTTATTCAAGAGAAAAATTGTGTGAAATGTAATTTGTAATCATGTTAATTGATTTTTTTTTTTTTCTATAATTCAATTTCTTGCTCATAATACCTCTATTATTAAAATGGAGCACTACATTTTATGTTTCTGGTTTCTCAAACTTTTAGTGCTGATTTACAACTTATTTTGAAAATTGTTTGAATTTTCATGTATTTTTTACATTTCAAAAGTTTATAATTCATTTATTTTACTTTCTTCATAAATAATTTGTGTCATTTATATGTCATACTTTAGGTTTTAAATTATAATCATGTAAGTTACAAATTTAATAATTTTATCATAAATTATAAAGTTGAATAAAATAAAGTTTTAAAATTCATTTGCTTTAATTTTTTAATTACAATTTTGTTTTGACATATCTTTGAAGTTTTAAATATATTCATGTTTTTTAAGAAAGTATAAAATAAAATAAAATGCTAATCATAGTTAGGGAAGAAAATGCAAGACATATAATAGAGAATTAATGAGTTCTTAGTTTGGCCACCAAACCCTAACCTCTAAATGAAAAATAACAAATTGTTTGTTTGGCGACCAAAGCCTAACCTCCTCTGTTCTTCCAAATCGCAGTTGGCATCACCACCCAACAACCACGATCACCTCCAACCCGACATCACCTCCGCCCACCACCGGCCGGCAAACACCGCCACCGCGCCACGTTGGCCTTTCCTCGTCTTCCTCTTTGGATCCATGGTCTGCCTCATAACCTCCTCCCTCTGCCACCTCCTCTGCTGCCATTCCCGACGCCTCAACCTCCTCCTCAACCGCCTCGACTACGCCGGCATCGCCGTCATGATCGCTGCCTCCTTCTTTCCTCCCATATCCTACGCCTTCCTGTGCACCCCACGCTGGCGCTTCTTCTACCTCTCCTCCATCTCCTTCCTCGCCGTTCTCACCGTCCTCTCCCTCCTCGCCCCCAAATTCACCCATGGCTCCTACCGGGCCTTCCGCGCCCTCCTCTTCTCCGCAATGGGGCTCACAGGACTCGTTCCAGCGGTGCATATCACGGTGGTGAATTGGTCGGAGTCGAGGAAGATGGAGACGATGGCTTGCGAAGCAGCAATGGCGACTTTTTATTTGGTGGGGACGGCGTTTTATGTGAGCAGGGTGCCAGAGAAATGGCGGCCGGGGAGATTCGATATGGCCGGGCATAGTCATCAGATATTCCATGTGTTTGTGGTGGCCGGAGCGTTGGCTCATTATGTGGCGGCGCAGCTGTTCTTGGAGTGGAGGGATGAGGTGAGCTGTGGGGGGAGGACATAGTGGGAGGATGGAGATTAGGGTTTAGCATTTAATATATATTATTTTTCATATTTACTTTATATTTCATTTAAAATAAAATTTGATGTTAAGTGTATCATTTTTTTTTTTTTACTTTTTATTTTTTTATTACATTTAATGTGTTTGAAAATTGTTAAAAATATGTTCATTTTATGAATGTGAGGATTTTTGTTTGATATTTATTAATATGAATTATTTTATGCTTCTCATGCTCATAAATTTAATGCATTATTAATATTATTTTTGGATATATTATTATATATGAAAGAGGTGCAAAGTCTAAGAAGATGACATTTATGACTTTAAAAAAAAAAGTCAAAGAAGATGGTAGGATGATATTATTTTTTAAATTATTAATATGATCAAAATGGTAATAAAAATATGTTTATTTATTTGACGATGAAAATATCATTTCATTATTCTTAGCGGTGAAAATAATTCTATTTTTTAGTGATTTTTTATTTTTGAAATTAAATTTTTGATTTATTTTGTATTTAAAAGTTTAAAAAATCTGTAAACATGTAGTTTTGGCCAAATTTTCGAAAGAAGCGTGTTTGTTCTGGAATTTAGCAGAAGGAGCGTAACGAGGAGAAAATTTGAGAAGCAGCTAATACGCGCTCATGCTTAACGCATTCAAAGAATGCGCTTAATGAAACGGCGCATTCTATGAATGCGCTGTACCAAATAGCGCAATATGTCCAATGCGCGGTACTTAGTGGCGTATTCCTCCCGATCCAGACTTGAATGCGCGGTACCATATGGCGCATTCTTCGGAATGCGCGGTACTATATGGCGCATTCCAAAGAATGCGCGGTAGTATATGGCGCATTCTTTGGATTGTGCGGTTTCATCTAGCTGTAATGGAGCGGAAAACGAGGGGATTTTATATTTTAGCGGGGACAAGATCCGGTTAATCCGCGAAAGTGGTTGAGGATATGGTGAAATTGATGCCGGTCGCTGAATATGAGTGGTTGGG